GACAGCCACAAGGATCCATGAGTGATTTGCGGTTCTTCGTGGAAAGCTTTGAACTGTCCCCGGAAGAACCGTGAAGAAACATGAAGAGCCTTGAAGAACCATAATGCATTTGCCTATCGGATCCCATCGATTTCAGGTCACCAGCTGGGGAGATAGTGGTGTCCTCTGCCGCAGCCCCGTCGCCCAACACGGCTGCGACGACTCCAGAGGCTGGATGCAGAGGATGTCACAGAGACTTGCAACGCACCCAACGAGCAACGCAGATGGAATTCCATCAATTCCAATAATTCCATGACAGGCGCCAGCTGCCCCCAGCATCGCAATCATTGAAGAGGACAAGGAGGATGCCCAGGCCTGCTGGACCTTCACTTCTCCAAAAAGGTGACTACGGAGTTGACAGTTTGTGAGTCGTTTGGTCCGATTGCAGAGTGTGCAAGGCCGGTGGACAGCCAGGTGGTACCCTCAGAACACCCCAGTGAAACTTCAAGTCTTGAGAAGTGGGCTGAGTTGAAATTGACCCAAAATCTCAATCTTGGATGCTTCAATCCCACTTCAGTCACTTCACTCCCATTATTTCTGATTCTTTGAAGGCCTGGAAGAAGCCGTTGGACAGGACCATGACACGGGATTGCTCCAGTGTGTAAACTGCGGGGTAGATCTTTTCGGCGTCCTGAGGGTTCCATTTTGTTGCGGTGTACAGTCTGGCAGGAAGAGGAGGAGGAAGAGGAGGAAGAAGACACGGAGGCTGAAGAGGTACGACAATGGTTTTGATGAGAGGCAAAACTGCCAAGAAACATCACCTGCTTCGCAATACAAAACAGAATATGGATACAATATAATTCTGTTGATTCTTTTCAAATTTTGATCTGAAACAGAGAACGGGGATTGTTCGTTGGGGCTCAGGTGCAGGGGTCAGGCGCACCAGCGCCACCTGCTCCTCAAGCCCAAACAGGCATCGCTTGTGTCATTGCGTGTTGCATATTGTTGCATGAGTTTCGATGTGTTTTTATCAGCAGTGTGGCATCAAATGTTGAGAAGTTGAGTCTTCGCCAGGTAGTTTTTTGTCACCTATCAGACCTATCAGCTTCAGCAACTGAGATCTGGTCAGGGGATGAGGAGATCAGTATCATCGAAGATGATGATGAACCCCCTCCGGCCAGCCCGGGACACAGTTGGACTTGCTGCCATCCTTGGATCCTTAAAGTGAAGTGTCAGCTATGCTGCCTCTGAGGCACGCAAACACCGGAGCCTGCAGTCGGGAAGTGGACGCCTGAATTGCGGCGCAGACGACACGGATAATTGCAGATGTATGTATCATGATATTGACATTAGAATAGAATAGAATAGAGTAGAATATATATATATGTATACATATATATACATACATATATTATGTCGTGTATATATATATATATGTATACATACATACATACATACATACATACATACATACATACATACATACATACATAGATACATACATACATACATACATGCATACATGCATACATGCATACATGCATACATGCATACATGCATACATGCATACATGCATACATGCATACATACACACACACATACACACATATACAGTATATACACATATCCACTGGACAGACAGATCTGGTCTTCATAGCCTTCGAAGTGTCACCCAATCGCGCACGCCAAGTCCAAGTGCCACCAAAATTGCAAAATTGTGAAACGTGTGGATGGCTTGGTATTGGAACTGTTGCTCACTGCCAAGCCGAGGCGACTGTTGGATCTTGCGCAAGGGTTTGTTGGTGCACCGTCGGACCCGCGGTGGGAGGACCTGGAAAGATATGGTGACATGACCGAACAACTTTGTGAGGCGCTTGCAGTAAATGAGCCTTCAAGATTGTTGACCGTCATTGCTTAGTATCTTAGTGTGCAGCTTGTTTGCGGGGAATCATGTGCATCACTAAGGACAAAGCGACCCAGACTCATCCCTCCTACTGTGGAAGTGCCCACTCAAGGTGTGGGCTGAGTAAATCACTACGGGCTGTTGACGAGCTGGTGCATTGCATTGGTTGCGTCAGGTTGGGATGGAGCTGTGCCCTCGCAGGCCAAGGTGCATGAACCCGGCCCATGAGGTTTTCTCTGTTTGAGTCAGTTTGAGATGCAGAAATTGCACTCCAGTCAACAAAACACGAATGGAAAGCCAACCAGCATGTGCAGCCTGTGCAGTATACCGTATACCCCATATTCCCTTGAAGGTGCCAGCCCCGGCGGGGAAGCCGGCAACGAATGGTGTTCGGCATGTGCCCCTGCTTGTCAGTTTGTTTGCATCATGTTGTAGTGATTCTAGTACTCTTTTTTGAACCAGGGTTCCGCACTGGACATTTTAACCACAGATTTCAACCCTCCACGGAGGTGGTTCCCACGGTGGTTTCCAGGCACCAACGGGGCCCACATCGTTGCCGATAACCCCGTCGGGAGATGCGGCGCCACGGATACCGGAGCCGCCAAAGCCGCCGCCCAGCAGGGGCACCTGGGGCACATCAATAGCTTCAAAAGGAGATTCAATATATTTTAATATGATTCCATATGATTCTCACTGGCAGATACAGTCTTTTGGGCCCTGAGAATCAGAGATTTTACTGGAACCAGCCTTTCAATATCTTTCAATTGAATCCAGGGAAGGTCGGAACAAACACATTAATAATCGTGGCTCCAAAAAAATCTGAGCCCAAGTCTTGCCAAGTCAGTGCCGTGGGTTTCCCCCAAAAACTCAGATGAACATCGAACGCCAGTTGCTGCAGGTCGGGAGATCAAGTGCCTTTGCGGTGTGACTGAACAAATTGCACCAAACAGCTGGATCCTGAGAGCATGAGCACCCAGAACCGATCGAACGAAGTTGCTGCATGCACCCAGGCCGTCCCGGCCTAGTGGTTTGCCGAGTGTGCAACTGTACCTTGGACAGAATTACAAATGACGCAAAGCAATCGGTGATAGATTTTTGGACTCGAAATCCTTACTGCTTTGGTTTGATGTGTTTTGAAGATTTCGCTGGACTAGCAGACTTTCGTCCTAAGGTTCCTTGCATACAAACTGTTCCAGCCTAAGAGCAAAGGCAGGGGTCTATGGGCATGAAGCTTGTGATAGAGAATATTTCTGTGAACAGGTGCCATTTAAAATCTTTCTTATCTCTCATCCGTCCGGTTGAGACGGTTGAGACACCGTCCATGAAGAAACTTTCAGATTTTGGTGGGCTGTGGCTGCCGTGGCTCTAAGGTGTGACTGGAGCGTTGCACAAATCGGTGTCAAAGGCTCAGATCCTCGAGGTGGTAGCGGTGGCAACGGTGGCAACTGCCGCAGCTGTTGCGTTGCTTGTTGAAATTCTGAGGCCTGCACACTTCGTGTGTCCACCATGTCGCTTGGATCGAGTGGACGAGTGATCCCTGCGAACTTTACATCTGTGCATTCAACTAGAAATGGTCAATTTCTGGTCTTGTATGAGACATCCACAGCTTTCTCGCAATCTTTGCAGAGCTTGTGGCAGGTTTCACCCCACGGTTGGTGCCGGCTTGCTGAAACACAGTTATGCATCCAGTACTACAACGCTTGGAACCAAGCTGCAGGCAGATGCGAGGCCTCATCAGACTCACTTTCAGCCTTGCGGAACCGCGGAACCTGAGGTTCTCTTTGACGTTTGCAGCACAGGCAGAGCGGACGTGTTCGGTGGACCATAATTCTGAAACTCTGTTGTGTATAAAACTTGGATCCGAAAGATTGCAAGCACTTAAGGTGCTTTTTGACGATTGTTTAAAGGTTGGATTTCTATCACTCGACCTGTTCGATTTTATTCGTTTAGCATATTTCGACTGGTTACAATTGCGTTCTATTGCTCCATCATTTTCCTTCAGGCATCTCAGTGGAAGAAGCAATGCTGGGCTGTCCATCTGCGGGTTTAGTCCTTGGCGATGCGGTTTGGGCAGCTTTGAGCAAAACAAATGAAGTATCAGTGGAACATTTGCAGTCTTGTTGAACATGCAGATAAAACCTATGAAAGACCTCAGAATTCAGAAGCGAAGTGCCACGGTGGAACTGCTGTACATCCCCTCCACAAGACCCCATACCTGGTTCCCGGATGTTCTCGGTATCGGTTGAACCTCTTCAACGCTGAGTCCGTGCACATCCACGGGGGCGATCTGAGTGGACCCGCTTGGCCTCACAAAGTACAGGAGAACCCTGCGATTTGTGAAACTCAAACTTCAAACATCTCCAGTGCCAGCCAGTTTCTTTAGTCTCATCGCCAGCCAGTTTCTTTTTAGTCTTGCAAGCTTGCCTTTGAAGCTATGCAGGGCAAGCTGAATGGTCGTCAATGTGTGGCCATCGAGCCGCCCAAGCACCTGCATGTGCCTGGGATGGTTTCATGATCATGACATCATGACATGTGTTCTGAAATTCATTTGGCAGATCAATGCTATCGCATTGGACTGACAAAATCGTATCGAATCGACAAATTGTCACAGTCTTTTTTGTTTCCCTGTGCTGGCACCAAAGCGCGTGGGTGCCATGATGTTTTGCTAGCGCCTTTGCAGCAGGTACGACGGGAGCAGTGCTATAATCTGACGCCCCTCCTCAAGCAGGGTCTGTCTGGCATGCTTAAATAGCAAGCCTTGAGCTCAACCATACACTGCTTCAGCTGGGCTCTGGCCAGGCCTCAATACCTTGGAACTACGCTTTTTCCCAAAGCCTGATAGAGCCAAAGATGAACCAGAGGACTGTGATTATCGTCATGGGCCACAGACCCTGAACCCTGACTTGAAACATGCTGACGCGGCTCGGCTTCAGGAGAACTACTGTGTTGGAGTGGTTCTGACTCGTCCGAGGTGGCCTTTCTTTCAGTGTTCACAGTGCTTGTGTCAATGATGCAGCAAAATCAGCAAACAGAGATAAACAGAGGTTTCCTCGGGGGTCTCTTAAAAAGGCAACAGGGTTGAGGGGTACCGCCTCGCAGTTGATCTTTTGGCTCAGTCATCAGATCCAAGCATGTCGTTTTACGCAGAGGGGTCGCCCCTCTTCAAGGACCGCAAGTTTGTGCCAGTTTGTCATTCCTTGGAGCCTAGGATGATCTTGCCATGCTGAGAGAGCGGGAGAGAGTTCTTCCTTCACAGAGAAAATCAAGCTCAGCATTTGCCTGTCATTTCTTAGGCATCTTAGGCCATGTCAATATGGCTGGGCACAATGCCAGGAGTGGCTAGATTTAACGGCGAACCGATTGACCGCAGCATCGCTGGAGCCATTGAATGCCAATGATGCCCTTATCATCATTGTGTCCCGGCACCAGATGCTGCTGGAAATTGGAGTAGATTTGAAGAGTGAAAGAGACTGTCTGGATCGCTCCTTAGGAAGTCGGTGCTTGTGCATGTATCTACTTTGGCAATCTTTTTCTTTCCAGCCTGCTTGATACTGTCAATCTGAAGCGGTGGCACCAGCCAGTACAAATCCAAGAGAATACTTTGCTTCTTTTGATTGCTGATGGGTAACAGTCACTTTCAAACTTTCACTGACAAAGCAGTTGAGCCAGATTGAACCAGAATCTCTTGAGCTCTTAGGACATGCAAGCTGACTTCGTGCCCAAGAACCCGCCTCCTGGCTTGAGCACTGAAGTTCTGAAGTTTCAAAAGCCTTGACAGCGCAGAGTCTGTGGCGATGACCCAAGGAGCAACCCTCATGGTGGTCGCTTTGGCGTTGCCGAAGGTGACAATGTGATTCCTTTGATCGAATCCCTGGTGGTGTCTTGGCCATGAGATTGCGGAGATGGCAGGTTTGCCGTTCATTGGAAGGTTTTTGGTAATCCACACACCCTCAATGGTCCCAAAAATCTGAATTTTCCCCGCTAAATCGTGGTTTCTGGGGTGTTTAGTATTAGGTTGAAGGGAGGACAACTGTGGGCATGCCTTTCTTGCCATGCAATGGGGCGGCAACTGAGGATGCTGCTGTTACAGGTGGGGCCAGCATTTGTGCTACAAGAGAGACCTTGCTGCAAGAAAGTAAGTAGCCTTAGAAACGTTGGTCAGTCAGTTTTGGAGGAAATAGAGCTGCAAGCAGGACCAACATCATTTGTTTCAAAGCTTGATAGACTTTGAAGTGCTGTTGAAGTCTCAACTCGTGCCGTATAGTTCCTATAGCAGCACTTGCATGTTTTTGTTTTCTGGCAATGAGAGCCCATTGTGAGGATCACACAGGGTTTAGTTCTAAGGACTACCATCCACACGATCACTGCTCTTTCAATATCACTGGTGGACCATTCCCTCCACACTGCGTTCAGGGCAGCATGGGCAGTGGCTTGGCTCAGCTTTTCTCAGCTTGGTATGTGCCATGTTCCGTCTTGCCTTTCATCCTGAGGTTACTTTCATCCGCGAATAGGACGGCTTTGGAAGTGAAACAATGGAGTAAAGATGGAATAATTCGGATCAAGAATCTGAGAATCTGGGAATCTGGTCGTCTCAGGAGCCAAGCTGACTCAGGTAATGAAGCAGAACGGTGAGAATGTCATGGTGGCGTTCAAAGCTTTGGGCCTGGTTGACAAACATAAAAAACAAAATGAATCTCACCCGGTCATGTACATCCAACTTTCACATATTTTTACTACCAAATTGTGCATTCCTGAGGCCTTCCATGAGCACATAGATAGCTTTGGAGCGTTTCCCTATTTTGATGGTGGTGCCCTGGCAGAGCTTGGTCTGTGTCGGTTGTTCATGCGGTTCATGGAGTGAGAAGACTTGAACGAAGAGGCGTTCCATGGCGTTCCCTGCAGGTGATGGGAGATTGACAAAGAAGGGCAGCATCTTGGCCTTTTTTTCAACATGCTGGCGATTTAAGGGTCAAATTTTGATCTTGGCCCATGAAAGATATGTAAGATATGGAAGATATGGAAGTATTGATTTATTTTGAGCCATACCTATTTGATGTTTGTTTCCAACGAGCTGAAGTTGTAGTGATTTTGGCGCCATTCGCCAGGCAGTGACAATGCATTTGGAGTGAATATGGGCTGTGCCAAAGCGCCGTTCACTGGATCTGTGATTCTCAAGCAGATCCTTGGCTGTGAAAAGGATTTGGCTCGACCCATTTCTTAGCTCCCAAAACTGTGGATTCATTTTGTATCTATCTATGCTCTGTAGCAAAGCAACAATCCTTGCAAGTATTGCATATTGTGTTATGATTATATTTTGATTTATTCTGTCGTCCTTTGGAGCTTTCCAGAAAGGTCTTTGCTGGCAACAGAAGAGCTGGACATCAACGCTCCTCCAGATGTCCTAGCGATTTTGAATGATGGAGTCGACAGGAAACTTAGGTCAGCCCGGCCCTCCAGTGCAGTGTGTGACCAGGTGATGATTTTGTGATTTGACAGGACACTCCATGACGTGGTCAAAGACAAGTGCCGCAGCTGCAGAGTAGTTGATTTGGTTTGTTTACACAGTGCATGACAACCCAGATACGTCATGACAGTGAAGTGTGTTCGTGTCACGGTTGGGCTCCTTCGAACTTCTCAGGAAGCGGCTTTTTGTTTGCGGTGCGTGTCTTAGTTCCGCAGGATGCTGCCAAGGGCTGCCAGGGTCAACTGTTGATGGGTAAGAAACGCCAGGTTTGGCCCTCGACTTCTGCGTTCTGGACAGTTGCCTCAATGCCATTGGGGCTGGCCTATCTGAGGCCCAGAATCAAAGAGAGCTGTTGTGGGGGAAGGACTTGCTGTCGAGATCTGTTGTGTTTGTTTCTTTGTTTCTTTGTTTGTTGACAGGTCTGCATGGTGCTGGATGCCGCCCGAGCAGCTCACATTCCTGGTGTGGGTACCTTTGGTTCAGGCTTTCTCTCAGACCCCACCGAGGCAGGTCATTTAGAAGTCAGGCCTTGGGGTATCTTAACGGATCTTAACGGTATCTTGGATATCTTGTGCTGGTCAGTATCGTGCATTGTTCCTTGGACATGTTTAGAATTGTTTAGCAGGTCGTCGGCAAAATGGAAGCTGCCGGTGCATGGAACTGAGGGGAGACTTTGGAGAGTTTGGGCTAGTGTGATATGCCCAAGAACACGTTCATCTGTGTTCATGGACTGAGGTTAAAGTGATCGATTCTGCGACCCTCTCTGGTGTATCACCAGGTCTGAAACAGAGCTGTTGAAAAGGAGCAGCCCCGATTTGCAAGGGTTCCATTTTCCAAGGTCAATTCAAAGAACGGTTGCTTCTTCCTGATGAGCAGGCCCTTTGCTTTTGCAGTTTGTGTTTGTTTGCATCAATCAGGAACTCTACTGATGACTGATGACATACCCGGATGACTATGACTATGACGTTGAAGACATTCCACTCTGGGCCAGGCTTTTCCACAGGTATTGGCACCTTTGGGCCTTTCGCATGCCCAGATCGAGTGCAGACTGATCGAAGGTAGCAAGTTAGGAACTCAGAGTGAAGCTGGTGGCCGAAGCTCCCTCTGATCCACACCTATCACATGTCACATTGAACCATATCGAACCTGCTTTGTCCTGATCCGGTGTTCACGCCTCGATGAGGTTCCAAGTTGAGCTGAATCTGGTTTGCACAGAGATTGCATAGACTTTGCACAAAGTCCATGTGGCTTGGAAGCTGCTACACTTTGTCACCTGAGGACAGGCAAGCTAGCTTCAGTGTCGCTGACCGACTGCACAGGCAAGGCACTGAGGTAAGATACTCACCCCATCTCTGTCGCCTCATTCACTGCTTTGCAACTGGGCCCTGTGTATGGCATACTCGTTCTAGATATTGCTGATGCCATTTGATAAAATTGATATAACACATATACATTGTATGCTGTACGTATGCTGTGTGTATGCTGTGTGTATGCTGTGTGTATGCTGTGTGTATGCTGTGTGTATGCTGTATATATGGATAAATGCAAAGCATGCAGAGCTTACACCAACACTTCAAGGCATTGCCGCCATTGCCTTTCACAGTGTTTTGGGACATTACATATGACTTCATTGTCCCTCCCAGGGAAGTGCAGCCCGCGAGCAAAGCTGCCTTTGAACTGGACCAATGCTCCAAAGGGAGCTGTGGACACTGGGATCAAATGATGGTTGCCACATGGTCCTGGGGATGTGGGTTGCTGTGGCTTGAAATGTGGTACTTTGTGCCTCTCCACTATCAGTTTCAGTGCTCAGGAATTGTGTTGGGCAGATCCTGTGGTGAGCAGTGCAAATGCTGCTGAAAACTTGCAGAAGAATTTCCTAGCGGCTGCTGGGCTTGCATGGAGATGGCATTAACCAGGGGTACAGATCCGATCTGCCCTCCATCCGACTCATGTAAACCTCGCCAAATAGGGTTGGAAGACTATTTTCATTTGGGATGGGCGATTCTCAGGGTCTTTTCTTTATATTAAACATCTAAAAATTTAACCTTAGACCAAGATTATTGGGTGCCTTAGCTGGATGAACGGTGCAGCTGGGCATAGTGATCGAGCAGAGGTGAGCGCTTCACCGGAACTCTGCTTCTTGGCCTATGGTGGCTTTTTCCTTCTGGACTCCGAGAGCAAAGTCGTAGCTGTGCAGGCCGAAACCAGAAAACATTCATCGAGATTCGACAAAAAACCTGTTGAAAAAAGCACTGGAAGGCTGTGACTGGGGATACCACCCAAGCCTGCCTGAAGTTTGAAGAGCCCCGCAAATGGCGGGAAGTGTGGATCTTACCGAACACGTTTGGTGGCAGATTTGACTGACGAGGTCAAGGATATCATGGGAAAAGCAGTGAGAATTTTGAATAGCCGGGAGCGTCCGAGGCCTTTACCCAAGTGCTCAAAGATGCAGGAAGGCAGGAGGATCCAGGATGAAGAGAATGACTGGGAATGACTGGGAATGTCTTGAACATCAAAAACAATTTCCTTTCAAATTTTGGTCCCTCTTTGCACAAGAGGTTTGACACATTTTCTTGAATTCATCTCAACTCGTGTTTCTTTTTCTTTCGAAGTACTGTAGCTCTTTGGCTGAAGTGGAAGTGCGGAGAATGTTACAGTGAGGCGTTGTCCGGCGTTGTACGTGTTTTTTTTGCAATGAACGACATGCCCCTTGAGTTGGACAATTTTCCCTGAGGTTCAAACCAGTGACGTTGCCAGCACTTCTGCGTCAGGGTGCGTGTGAGTTCGCATGGGTAAACCCCAAGGAGGAGCAACGTGGAATGCTGGGCATGGGTAAACCATGGTAAACCCCATTCAGAGGCATCGCATGCTGGCCATGGACCGTTGAAGGACCTTGTTGCGGGACCTGAACATTGGATTCCCAGTGAAACTGGAGCCTATGTGTACCTCTTGTCCAATGCGTAGCCTCCTTAGCTTCGCCGCGCTTCGCTGCTTTCCTAGCGCTAATGGTTGAGCTGTTTGTTTGAGGTCACCTGTGTATTTCCCAGTGGTGGAGGCCCAGGCTTTTGAATGTGGAAGCTCCGACCTGTTGCTGAATCCACGTCAGGCTGCGGCCGATTCAAACCTGTCGTCCAAGCTGACCAAGCTCATTCAGCAGGTGAGCTGCATTTGAGACATATGGGTATGGGTCAATACCTGTTAATACCATTTTTAGTGGGATGAACATCCATTTACCAGCTATTTTGATGTTCACCAGGGGTACAAGGTTTTGACACACTGCTATATCCAGCTGTGAATCCGTCTGAATTTGCAGCGCTTCAGGATCTTGGCGAGAAAGACAGTGCAACTTGGCCGCAGATGGAACAAACGAAAAACGCTTGATCTGTCTGGTCTGCCATGACCATGGCGGCCTGATCCCCCTGAGGCAACGGACAAGGAAAAGGCTCATCGAATCTCATTTGCCTCCGGAAGATCATGAAATTATGTGAAGAATTGTGAAGAGATAAAGACAACAAGAACATAGAAAGACCATGAAACACCATGAAACACCATTAGAGCATCAGAAAATTGTCTTGTTTGTAACACAGTATATGCTCCTAGATCAAATGTTGGTGAATTTGCAGACTTTTGCAGACCCCTTTGAGTGGAAGCTGACAGGTGACAGCCTTGCTCTGCAAGTTGGGCTGCGAAGGGCCAGAAGTTGAGTCGTTGATGCAGGTCTACATGCAGGCCCCGTAGATCCAGTGACTATGACCGTTGCCGTCCGTTGCCCAACAGCATGTCCTTAATGTCCTTAGAGCACGTTTTGGTTGGGTCATTTCCTCTGGTGAGAGGGTCGTTTCCCAAATCAGAGGACCGCTCTGAACCTTTTACCATCTCCAGCTTCATGGCAACTTGGCCTTTCAATGCCATATCGGCGATATCTTAAACTTTGTTCTGGATTGTGACCCAATATTTACTCGTGCAGATGCATCAACATTGGGTTGCTTTGGGTTGTCAATTGCAATACAGAAACATCACATCGTATGAACATGTATGCGCCGTAAATATATGATGTTAGATATGCATAGATATGCATATACAGTGGAGCTGTCCTGGGCCAAGATGGGTTGGTGCGGAAGTGCCAGGGCGCAACCCTTTCCTAAAGTTTCGAGGGAAATCTTTCAAGCCAAAGTTCCAGAAGGATCTGAGGGCTTCAAAATCGTTCAATAGAAGTTCCAAGGAATGGCTTTGATGTTGGAGAATAAAAGGCAAGATGAAATTCCAGTCAGGCCTCTTTGGGATGTAGTGGAATTATGATTCATTAACAATTATTCGTTATCATGACGTAGTTCGATTGCCATAATGCTTGTGATGTTCCGTGTTGCCATTTCCTGAGGCTTGGATGTGGAACTGATGGCCATTTGGTCAGCTGTGTATAATGGTACATAGTAGTACATAGCACCTGTCCGGCATGGTGCCGCGCCACCAAAGGTGACCGGCAATTCAACTGAGCGATTTTTTGGGCAGGAATCTTTAAAATAAGCTTTCTGCTAGCGCAGCTGATTTCCAGTCCCATGCAGGCATCAAAAGCTCCATGCCCGTGTGTTGTGACATGTTGTGACATGTTGTTACAGCCACCGTTGGGACATGGGAGAAGAAATGCAGCTGTGGATGCTGATGGTGCAGGTCTGTTGCCTCAATTATCACTCGGATACGGGCACGGTGCGTGGCCCAGGGGCACACGGCCGAGTTGCGATGCTGGCAGAGTTGGCCTTGGGGTAGTGACCGGTAGGGACCGGTAGGGACCGGTAGGGACCGGTAGGGACCGGTAGGGACTGGTAGGGACCGGTAGGGACCGGTAGTGGTGAGGTGAGAGCGAGCTAATTTTGGCTCGCGGGCACGAATATGTCGATGAGTTGCCGACGGGAACAGAGGGATGTCCAGCTTGGAAGCATCGCCAGAATCGACACACCACGGCAGCCAATGAGGGGAAGCACTGAAAGCCCAATGGAGCTGACACTCATCCTTGAAAAATGCGAATCCCAGGAGGACTTATTTCATTTGGAAGCTTTCAACCTCTGAACTTGTGAAGATTGTGAAGACCCTGTCTCTGATTCGCCTCCCCCCACGATCCCTCCACACTCCACTCCCTCCGGACTGCCCCCTGCGCATCCAGGTCTCAAGAGACGGTGAGCACCGGCAGAGCTCGCGTGGAACGTCTCATCGCACAGGTTGGCGGAGTTTCCCTCGTCTTGGCTCAATTTGATCGGCTTCACAGCTTCCCACAGCTTTCCACAGCTTTCCACATGTCACATGTCGCGCTTGACAGTAGGAATATGACAGAAACAAGTCATCACAGATGTCCCATGTCACTGTTCGCACCACTTCCTGGGTTTGATCAAACTGGCTCCCTGATATCAGCTCTTTGTTTGCCCGTTGTGACGCCTCATGAGATTCATGAGCACATGTTTAGCGAGACTTCGAACAAATGCTGTGAAACAGCCGGTGCTCAAAGTTTCACAAAGTGAGGCGTTGGGCAACGCATCAAGTTACTCTTGGAATGATGCAATATACTCGTCCTATCTCGTCGTACTCGTCGTATCTCGTAGTGATTCGTAGTGTATTTTTCTGGGCCCATGAAATCATGGGAGATGGTGCCTGCGGGATGTGCCTGCTGGCGACCAACCGTTGTTATTTCGGGGCCCACCGTCAGGTGGCCAGTATGGAAGCGGGACAAGAGGACCTATGGCAACCTATGGCAACCTATGGCCCCAATTGTCGAGCTTTTTGAGTTGGCAGGTTGGATTTTTGCTGATCTCCCCTCATTTTATGATATTTTATGATTCCTAATGGATCCTAATGGCTGATTTGCTATGATTTCCCCTGCGTGCCTCTCTTCGGCCAGCTTTACTTGGACAAGTTTCACCCCGTTGTAGAGTCTACTCGTTGTTGGTGCTTAGCGAAGAACAGTTGTGAGTATGCTTTGAGAAAGGCAAACTAAGAATAATGTTCTACTGTAAGCAACGTACATGTTTGCGCACTTGGCTGACTGTTTTCTTTCATCCTGTTCACATGTGTTCTGACTATCTTTGACGAAAAGATGCGAAAAAGAGACCATAGCAGGTGCAGCGGCAATGTGACTTTTGTAGGGAGTTTCTAGTTTCCTGGTTGTCCAAGATCTCCTTGGTTTATTTTGGCGCCCGAGCAAGTTCGCTAGGAAGGTAGAAATCATCACCCGGGTGAAGTCTTTTGTTTCACGTTTCATCAGGTCTTTCATGCGGCCAAAACGCACTTTATCCCAGGACGAGTGTGCAGTCACAGGTAACTTCGGGCGAACCCTGAAGTCCAATGCCTGGAACACCGTGAATTTCGCAGTCGCACCGTTAATGACAAGAGATAAACCCATTGAGCAGAGGGGTCATGGCATTCATGACATTCATGACATCAACACGCATAACATACCGTCGGCAGTGCCGAAGTGCTGAAGTTGGAGAAAAGGGACAGAGAGTGGTCATTGTTTGAAACACACAGTGTGCATGAACAGAAGCAATTTGAACATTTGACTAGATCTGTGCTTTGATGTGCAAAACGGCATTTCCAGGTCGATGCTTGGTTTGGATGTTCAAACCTTTTCTGCATTACTGAGGCCACTATGCCCAGTATCTCATTGCCCTATTGAGGACCACTATGGACCACTCATCAATCCAGTGAACAGTCATGAGTTGGTGGCAGTGGCCGAGTGTGACAGCGGAGCCAGGAAGCAGCGATTGGGAGGGATTGTCACCATATCCAGGTCTTCGACCTTCACTCGTCCGCCCGGTCATGGTGACGGCAAGACATGGCAAGACGGTAGATCCAGAGGATCCATGTCACTGCGGTGCCAGGTACATCGCTGTGAACCAAAGGATGAGATCACTGGATAAGCGCTGGACATGTCCTGCTGGATGCTTGGGTACGGCTGTGTCTTCGAACATGGAAAGATTCAAAAGGCCACCAAGGGTCACCAGGCCGCCACGGCCGAGTTCGGCCGAGTCACTTTGGTCGTCTTGAGGTCTGTGGCTCCGCCTTGAGACCTGATGATGTCGTATTACATCCCTTTGCCCAGGTGAGCGGGGTCCCGGGGCGTAAGAGATGGCTTATATAACAGATCGTGCAGGGAACTATGAGAACTCCTGAACGCGTGGGAGCGCTCTTCCAAATGCTAAGTTCAGAGCGTCAGATCGGGATGTGGACCTTGCTCTCTGCATCCTGCGTGATGTTTGCAGTTTGCAGCGTCCTTCTCGGGCAAACTCTGAAGAATGACCGATGACTTTCCTCCAGATTTTGCAGGGCTCTTTGCGTTGAAAGATATGATATGATTGAATAGTATTGAACATGTTTCATCGGAATTGATACTTAAGTGCCCACGAACTTCCAAGTTACCAGAATTTCCTGCAGGGCATTCTTGACACACTACGTGGAGATGAAGATTCAGTCGAAGCCATTGTCTTCGATGAGGAGTGGCCTAGCTTTATCTCTGCTATCCATCCATTTCTATCCATTGCCGGCAACCTTGTCAACATCTTGCAGCTGAAATCAGCTGAAATCAGTTGCCATGGTCCAGCCGGCCATTTCCTGCAGGATTGCAACTGGTCCACCATCTCCGCGGTCAAGGATGAGAAGCGCGGTGCCGAAGGTGAAGGTGAAGAGGCAACACTGGGACCGCTCTGCAGTGGATGAAATGGAACATTTCCGATGGCATGATGCTAATACGCAGTGGTTGGTGATGCCAAAGGAGATGCTTCGAGCATCTTCGAGCACTTGGTTTTTCTTGAGGTATCTTAGAGTCCCAGAGTATCTTTCACTTGGACTTGTAGTGTGTTGTATTTTTCGACCTGCATTACCTGGGTCACTGGGCCCAGTGAAGCCAATGCTTCTGCCAGGGAGGCGGCGCTCGAGCTGAAATGATTGACTTGCAGGGCTCTAAGACGAACACCTTTGAAAAAAACAGGGAGCAAAGCTTCTACCACGCTTTTATCATCTTTTATCAGGAGCCTATCACGATTTTTTAGCACCCCAAAAGCATTTCTATAGTCTCATCAGCTGTTCAGACTTTGAAACACCTTGGGTGACTTTGAATGAACTACAGGTCCGACTCGGAGTGATGACTCGCACTCTGATAGCAAATGTGCCTGAGACCTTTGGCCAAGGCAACATACGTCAGGTTTTGCTACAAGAGAATTCCTCGAATCTCAAGAGAAAACATCAGCTGTTGTGATGTTGGTAAGAATGCAGCTTAGTTCTCTGTCAAAAGCTGAGTAGTTGTGTCTTGTATCCAAATTGGGTTTCGGAAATGCTTCGGAAGGATGTTTCGATGGAGGAATCTTGGAAACAGAAAATGCCGAAGAAAGGCGAGGTGTTTCGAACAGGAGGCAAAAACCAATAGGGTGAGCTCAGAATGGACCTGGGCACTTGCAGCGGAATCCGGAGAAGGCAACAGACACATACAGAAACTTGAGAAGGAAACTTAACCAGATCTGGATTCCTTTGACAAGACCAATGCTTGCTGCCAGCTTCTCATCACAACGTGGAAGAGTTGGTTTTGACATGTTTTGAAGTTTTGACATGATTTCTAACTGCAGTAAAGTCAGTTTTGAAGTCGATGTTGTGGCAACATGGGCTCCGACGATAAGGGAAATGTCTATGCATAGCATGATGTATTACTTCAATAATTACGGTATCCATCGGTATCCTGTTGTGTGAGAAGATGCTCTGACGTGTGCGCAATGGCCATGCAGAGGTGAGGACAAGTGGAATGAGGAAAACAGCGCCAGTTTTAGCAGTCCAGATCTGTTTGCAAAGATATGCTAAGGTCATGATGCGTACACAGTGACAAGAGGGATGCCTTGTGGCAAGTCAATCTTCTTTCACAACACTATGCCACTATGCAAAGCCACGCTTTCGGTTTCTATTCATCTCAAAAGGATGTACCGAAGGACATTTTCTGTGTTCTTGCACCGCTTTGGCTCTACTTCACAGAGATTTGACCAGCACTGGAAACCCAAAAAGCCTGCAGACAGGGCCTAGTGGTAGACACGAGATCAGATAAAGGTGAACTTTCAGGTAAACTAAGGCTGCAAAAGTGAGAAGATGAAAATATAGCCCATGCAAGACATCAGATATGATATGATATACATGGCAGAGGAAGACATGGCTGACTTAAAGTGACTTGGTTCACCTTGGTGAGGCCTGGGATATCCGATGGGTTTCACCGATGCCGTCCTTGCCGAGCTGCGAGACGGCGATGTCCTCAGCGCGGAGGAGAAAGCGCACTTTGTGCTGGCAGGCTTTGTCAAGGCGCGTTCTGGTGGGATGATACTGATTTGTACCGGTAACTAGAACAATACTAGAACAATACCAAAACAATACTAGAACTGCTGATAACTCAAATTATAACTCAAATGAGAACCAGAATATTTTCATCTATTTTTTTCTGCAGCGATATGCAGATGACGAAGAACTACATGTCAGCAGCAGCATTCCAGCAAGAAGGAGAAACAAAAGTAAAATTATGAACATGACTCATGACCATTATATATATATAAATATTGTAAATGTGTTATAACTATTTATAACTAACAAATATCTACAGATGTACAAAATTTTGCTGTACGCTGCCGTTTTTCTGTCTGCTGTTGCTCCAGGTCCGCAGCGCCGTTTCTCGCTCCGCCGCCGATGCAGCTGCTGAAGCAGTCTGGGCAGCAGCGGAGCTGCAGGAGCAGAGCTGTCGGCGCTGGCCTAGCTCTTGGGAACGAGGCGTAAGTCGTAGGGTCGGGTGGGGGAAATTCAGATTGGGCGTTCCAGTGGATTTTTGTTGAGAACTTTGGAAATACAAATTTATGCTAAGTCAGAGTTGATGTCTGTATTGTTTTCATTCTCTCCGTGGAATCCCTGCGTTCATCGTCCGTTCCCATTTTATTTGGGTCTCGTTTGGCCGCCATGCCGCCTTCGTATCAGAGCAGCCAATCCGTGCCAGAGGAAGCCGCGCTGACAGGAGCGCACTGAGCCTTGCTGCAAGCTGATTCAATGGAAGGTGTGCCATTTGTTTGGATCCACATACTCTGCCATCAAAGTCCAGGGCTCCGAACCCACCAGATGCGAGCGCCAAGAGGATCTTCTCACTGCTGGAACTGCCCAAAGGCTTCAAGGCTTGGCAAAGTGGATCCGCAGAGGTGGAGATTGAACAGTTCTCAGAGCTGTTGACGGCCATTGTCCATCGCAGACAATGAGGCTTTGGAGATTGCAACCATCGTACCATTGTGATCGCATTCTGGTTGTGCATGTTGTGCAACCGGTCCAATAGGCCTGAGTATTTTCCCCAAGCGCTGGTCTTCGTGCGCTCGGCATTGGTTCGGCGGAATCAAAGGAGTATCTCCGAAGGTGCATGGAGAGGAGAGAAGATACCAACTGTCGAAGAAGGTGAATTGCACGTTGCCACCCAAGCATCTCCGCGTAGCTGTTTGAAACGACAGATCCATTGAGATCCATCATGTCATGTCGGATCGTTTTCCGATATGAAGCTCCACGCTGTTCAGCTCCCAGAATGATCGGAAACCAGCAGCGGAATGATCGGAAACCAGCCATGGCATCTCCAGCATCTGCACGGCACCGTCATCCCCGGCCTATGTGCCACACGGACAGCCCATGGGGACACCTTGCAGCCACTGTGGGTTTTTCTCGGAAGGCCGAAGTGAAAGACGAGGCGACGGAGCCATGCAAGATCGAGGACATCTCAATGGTGCTGGATTCTGCAGATTCTCAAAGAGTGTCAGGTCAGGGAACCACTGTTGGGCAGAGTACAAAGGAGCAGGTGGTGTCAACGAACTGAAGAAGAAAGAAGGGCAGGAGAGGGGGAGAGGAGAAACAGCCGAGCACAGATGTTGCTGACGGGCAGACAGTGTCAAAGAATCGCAGAGCGAAGACAAACAAAGGAAGAGAAGAGACACGAGCACAGCATGAGTTCGGTATGCTGGACTCGCTGGACAGCACTTTTCACAGCACTTTTCACATCCAGAGCTGGAGGATCCGAAAGAGTCCAACGTATCGATGCCAAACGATTGATCGGCGATTGAGCAATTGCCAAGACGAATTCGAAGGTGGCTGTTGTAACTTGCCACAGAGTAAAAGTTTGTAAAAGTATCAAAAGTGCACCAAAGACTTGGTGCAAATCCATGGAAGATCCATTGGAAATCCATTGGAAACCGGGAAACCCATGTAGAATCCTGAATGCAATTTGGACACAGCTCCAACTGATGTGGGATTGAGCGTGTCCCAGTGCATGATCAAGAATGCGTTGCTGCGCAATGCCACACATATTTACATCTCAAAAACATTCAAAAACTGGCGATGCCAGGGGCTCTTGTTCTCACTTGCGCAGGTGATGTGATGATGAAGCAGCAGATTCCCAGTGACCTCCTGAACAGTAAGAAGCTGTACCTTGATTCAGGAGACGATCAAGCCAGGGCGCCGGCGCAGGAAGGGGGTTGTTTAATGTCTCATCAATAAGGTCCATCCATACCATCTCAGCCTTATGACCTTTATGTCCTGATAGATTGCCTCGCAAGAAAAGTTTTCCCAGTTGTTTCTATAAATATATTATATATATGACTATAGAATATATTTCATATTTCCATGATTTTCCATGAGTTTTCCATTGCTTTTCCATTGTTTGTCCCAGAGTGGGTGTAGCTGTTGCTTAACTTCCATTCGACGGGCGCTTTTGCCTCAGGCACGCCGCTTTGGATGATTTGCTCGGCAGTGGACGGTGGAGCACGGAAGGACTAGAGGATCTTGGTTGGGTCACTTGCCATGAGTGAGTCCCATCAATTTTCGTGCGTACTGGAAGAGTTTCTTGATGTTTCTTGCGCATTGAAGCCACTGAAACCCACTGAAACCAAGTTTGCACTCCGTGAAGCCACTGCTATGTCTGCTATGTTGCAGACATTTGCAGACATTTGCAGACTCAGGCACCGATGCGCTTTCCGGCCTCTAAGCTGCGCTGCCGCACGGCAAAGGGAACTTGGGACGTCACTCAGCTGTATAAAATTCGTCGGGCTTGGCGGCTTGCAGGGCCTTCGGGGCGAAGTTTCTTGGGAGTGGAGAGATGTAGAGCAATGTAGAGAGGCTCAGACTGAAGATGACTGAAGACACCTTTCCACAATAGGATACAAATGGATACAATCAGCTAACTGAACTCAGACTGAGCTTGTCCACGCTCAGGTAGAAGACACCAGGGTGGAGGCATGGGATGGGGATAGCCATGGAAGGCTACTTCATAGCGAGTCATATAGCGAGTCATGAGCCGTCCCGGAACCGTCGCGGAACCGTCCCGGAACCGTCCCGTCATCCATGCAAGCGCGTGCAAGGCACCCTGCCAGTACCATTTGGATGGCTCTTGGTACCAGCATCGACTTTTTTGTCCTCAGCAAGCCATCATAATTTGTGTCATATTAACAGAGTCTCGGATGGGAAGAAGTGGAAGAAGTGGAAGAAGGGTCAGGCTTTGAAGTGAGCTCTCTACTGTACCGGCCATGGGCTTCCAAACTGTAAAGGATCAAAGATTTGACTGTGGAAACTTGTGAACTCCGAGGACACGGCGATGGGTGGTGCTGGTACTGCCGTGAAGCTGGCTTCACATTTTCACATGGCTCAGCACCTTGTTGAAGCTGGAGAACATGGTTTAGATCATGCGAGCCTATGCAGGGAAGCACAGGCCAGTGATGTGAGAAGAGTTGACATGGTTGATTTGTTTGGATTGGCATGGAGCAACAATTAAAAGTGCTTGCGTTAGTCCATGTCATGTAATGTATGTCATGTATCCTAGCATATCCTAAAACAAGGAGTCAGTGATGAATGAAGGCCCTCGATGTTGAGCAACACCCGGAGTACGAGATCTACTGTTGCTTGTTTTGAAGACAGCCTGTTCACATCCATCCACAAGGGTGGGTAGATTCACCTGACTCACAGTGTCTTGACATTTACAAAAGCATTACAATCCTCTAATCCGCTTGTGCAAAGGCAATGCCGGAGATGTTCTGCTGCTTCATCCACATTTGGCACACAGTAGCACAACCAACGTTCGATTCGGGCGTGATGTTCGCTTGGCTCTCACCAAGAGGGCCTACTGGACCACAGGCATGGAGATTCACTTGGCAAGTGTGAATACGATGCGATGGCTGTTGTTTGTTGATGTTTGTTGATGCTTGTGGCAATGTGTTGCGATTTGGAGAGAGCACCTCATTATACCTTTATCAATTTCTGTAACATTCTGCACAGGCCCAGCCACCACGTCAGATTCTTTGATGCCAGTGGAGTTTCCATTGTCTTGGGCCGCAACGAAGCGAACGAGGTGCTAATTTTCATGAAAAGATGATGAAACCATGGAAAAGGCTGAAACAGGATGGAACAGGACGGAATAGGATGGAACAGAGGGTGAGAACAAGATAGAATAAAATATATAAAATGGAATTATAACATGTACTGTAACATAGAATAGTTCTTTGTCCTTTCGCTGGTCTAGGCGGGAGCTGGACATCATCGTGGAGAGCGCACGCCAAGCAGTGACGCACATCGGAGACTCTTCTGTGATTCCATGGCAGACCTTGAAAGAAGAACTGATCGAGGCGGGTGCGATGGGCTTTCCGTCCACCACAACATGTGTTGCTTAACATTTTTGATAACATTTTTGAAAGAAAGATACAGTATGATACAGTCTGTATAATCACAAACTATGATTGTTGCCACTGCTCCAGGGCTGGTTCATACGAGTCTGGGGGTTGACATTGCGAGGTTTACCGGTTTGTGTTGTGATGCTTGGTCATCATGGAGAATGGAGGCCCCAGTGGCTACTGTTGAAGATGTGGATGCGCGACTGGCCGAGTGTGCTGAATCTTGTTGGCATGCTCTGAATTTTTAAGTAGTCCCTTTGTTAGCCTGATACCACCAGAAACTTATCAACTCCATCAACTCCAATTTTTGCAGATTCCTATATAATCCTACGTATATACAGATCTTCTCCGTTGCTTTTCGAGGCCTTTTCTTCGGGGTCAGAGTCCGGTTGCAGCATCGACTTGGGCTGTTTGCTTCTGACCACCGAGACCCTGCAACATGTCGTCAAGGCACCGCAACGTTGGGCACGGTGGGAACGTTGCACTTTTGTGCAGTCCTCATGAGAAGTCCCTGGGACGGCAGGTCGCAGCTAGCACTGACATATCCAAGGTCCGGATGGTGGAGAGTGAGGTTTGGCTGAAAGCTGGTGTCCAGGAATGCTCAACAGCAGTAATTTCTCATTGTACTGGTATAATGTGTTATGTAGCATTTATATTGGGAACATTTGGGAACATCAAGCTTTTGGTTTGCTCAGCAGGTTTCCTTGTTATCTCGGCTGACATTGATGTTTCTTGCACATCCCAATTCTGCCAGGAGTGCTGCTTGGGTTTGGCACGCTGTGGCCTGGGCCCAGTAGCTTGGCCGTGGAGCGGTGATGGATTTGTTTTCATAGAGGCACCCTTTTCGAATCTTTCAGGTCTAACAATGTCTAACATGCATACTGTGACACATACAATATATGACAACATTGACAACGGAAATCACGCTAAATTCTCATGGCCCAGCAAAATATGAGCTTGGAGATGCGTGGAGTTGCTTCACCGTATCGCCAGATCAACGTAACCAGCACAGAGAGTACTGTTTTTTTGGTCTTTTGCAAAGTGCAATGGCTGAATCTCGAGGGCAAACACATAAAAAACCATCTATTGATGGCCAAGAACCATTGAAGGATGTTTGGAACACATGCCAGCAGCCTCTGACAATAAGGCAGGCAGTTCTGCGCTTGGACGTTTGCTGCAAGCTCCGTTGAGGCTTACGCGTCTTCTGCTTCAAGGTGCAGTTTCACCTTGGTGCCCAGAGTTTCATCGTATCAAATTGGGCATTGATCCTGCAGATCCTGCAGATCCTGCAGAGGCAATGCGATGGGAGATGGTGGAGTTGTAGCATTGCTCGCGCTTGCAGCTGAAACTTTACGTCCCTCAAATGCAGGAATTGACATTCGTTTGGCAAGATTGGATGGGTTCACCGTTGTCTGTAAGCCAAAAGCGAGAACTTCCCGAAATTGTGAAGGACATCACCGGATTTCAGGATTTTGCATCGAACAAAGAAACGAACTCTTGAGGTACAGTGGAGACATTGTCGTTGAGCTCCAACGAGTTAACTGAGATCAGCTTGGAGGCGTTGGTAGATGCCCTAGGCGGGGGCCATGGCAACTTGCCTGGCGCTCAGTGGGATTCGATATGGATTCGAGGGGTTGCAACTGGTTGCAACACTTGGAAATTGCCCAGGCAATGTCTGAAGCTCAACGACAACAGCATCGGGCCTGAAGGTGGCTCTCAGACATTTCAGACGATGACGACTTGTTGTTGAAAGTTAAAAAAGTGCACAGTGAAGAGGAATGACAAAGGCCTTTCCGTCAGATTTCAAAGAGAATAAGAGGCGATGTGCCAGTGGCAATTACAATGACTCAATAATTCAATATGAATCATCCACTTATGTCATCCCAACAATGCTCAGCTGCAATCCAGTGAAGTCGTTTGAAGGTGCTGATGCTCTAGCACGCTTGGTCTCCATGCCGAGCCTGCGGCATTTGGAGCTTCGCAGCTGCCCAATCAAGGCACCGATGCCAACTCAAGACATTCGACATCTGGACATATCTGGACATATCTGGACATATCTGGACATATCTGGACATATCTGGACATATCTGGACATATCTGGACATATCTGGACTCTGTGCTGGACATATCTGGGTGTCTTTGTATTGAACCAGGATGAAGGCATCCTGACTTTGAAGGAGAACTTGGAGAGCTCTCACCTGGAGGATGGGGACTCAAATGCAGTATACTGGTTTGTACACTGTACAATCTGTTTGTATCTGTTTGTTGGGTGGTCAAAAAATGTCAAAAATAGTTTCTCCATGTTTCTCAACTGAACTGTTCGTTTGAGACAGTGAGAAGCTGAGGAAGAGCACTGTCCAACAATCTTTCATCTTGCCTTTTGAACCTTGTTGCAACGATTCCAGGTTCTAGACCTGGAGAGAACACGTCTCAGTGACCCAGCAGCGGTCATGCTCAATGATATGCTGATCGAAGTATGGGTCTTAGATGTCTTAGGCAATGACTTTCTTCTCCATGAGAATCAGAATCCTGAAAGTTTCAAATGGAATAAAATGGATGGAAATGGCCAGTTGAAAAGTTGCAAACCATGCCGCATGTCGAAGTCTGCTACCCTGCGACGTGCTGAGGCGTTCCCCTTCCTCCGCTGCCTTTCGCTGCGGGCTTGTCGCATCACGGACCAGGGTGCAGTTCCCCTTCTGCGCGCCACCTGTGGCAGAAGCTTCCAGAGGCCATGGGTAGCCACATGGGTAGCCACATGTCACAAGGTGCAAGTGCACACGGCGCACGCAGATTTGTCATTGCGGGACGGGTTCGAAAAAAAAAGTACCTCCAGATAAATTCAGGATATTCCAAGCTGTTCCTTGAAACAAATTATTTTGAGGTTGATTCTCCTTTTGCCGTGCTTTGCCCGCCTCCAGTTTTCCTTTTGAACCGTTAAAAGTCTTTGTTGCCTGCAGGCTGGATCTTGGCCGGAACTTTGTGGGAGACGGCGTCATAAAGGCCTTCGCAGACCTTCTTCCAGATTTCGAAGAGGGCTTCTTGGATGCAGGGCAAGTTGCAGAAAAGGGAATTCGCGCAGCATGCCTTTGGCGATGATGGTTGGTTTTGTGTTGGTTAGCCAACCGCTATGAATGATGAAGATCTCTATTGAAGCGACCCATTTGATCGCCATGTTTCATGAGGGGTTTGTGCACTGAGATGTTGCCAAGTCGTGGGTTTCTCGAGGACGAGGACTTGAGGAGCCGCTCTTGGGCACAAATCAAGTCACAGACGCTGGAATTGAGATGCTTTACGATGGCTTGGTCAGCTGCAGGGGAACCGTGAGGTTTATGAACTTCACCAGCAGCTTGGAGTGCCTGGAGTTGGATTTTGGCTCGAACCTTCAAAAGGGAAGACTTATGAAGTGATGATGGTTATTGAACTTTCCGCCCAGATGATCCACAACTGAGGCAATCTTCTGACATCGCAGTCTCTGCAGCGCATGACGGCCTTTCTGGATCTTTGTTGTTCCAAAAAAGAGCTGCCGCTTTGGGGCTTGGATCTCACTTACAATGACATGTCTGTTTCTCGGCCGATTATGAAGACAGTATCATGTTTTCTAAGAGCTGGGAACTTGGAGAGCGGGAATCAGCTGGATTTGTTGGTTTTTGATTTTGGGTTCGGTGCTACATGTTTGGCACATCTGGTACAAAGTCGACCATTCTATTGATCATCGCCAGGCTGTTTGAGCCTTTTCCAGTCACTCTGTATTTGTCATACTGTGCCAACTTCCACCGGGTTTCAGTCGCGGCTAAGGTGAAGTCGGTTCAGCAGTTTCGGGCAGCTGTGGGTCGACTCTCCGGGACCTTCTCCAGGTCCTGGCAGTGGGAGAGGTGTTTCACTGCAGGATGTGGCTGAGACCAGCCTGGTGACCCTGGTGGAGTTTGGACACTTGGCCAACTTGTCCTGGTGGAGTTTTCCGGTTTAAACCACTGAACCACTGGGAAAAGGAGTAGCTGAGTAGCTCATAAGTTGTGCTTTCAGACACCTAAGACTTCATGTTCTGCTATGATACCAATCACAAGTGTTTAAGGGGAATCGGAATATATATATATATATATTCATATTCATTTTCCATGTTTGCACACTTCTGGGATCTCAACAACTAACATTTGTATTTTTGTGGTTTTCCTTCCAGAACGCTTTTAAATAGATGGGTGGGAGTCCTGGTCACGGGCAGACAGTTAAACCTCAGTCATTCTTTTCGCCTCTGAGGTGCGATGGTATTTTGCCCACCAAAAGGCGATCGCCCATCACGAGCCAACCACGAGCAGCGGAATTCTGCCGGCCTCGATTTGGATGCCTACTACTGGAACACATTGGGAAAAAAATGCCAAATCTGAGGATTTGAATGGCAACCCGAGAGCTAGCAATGTCTCTGCCACTTGGCATGCTCTACAACATTTGCAACTCAAGTTCAACTCGGGTGGAGCGACACGACTCGGAAGGTCCAGCTGAAACTGAAGATCATGAGGATCACGGGAACCTACCAACTAACGTATAGATCATGCTGGAAGATACATCTAATGAAGTTATTGAAAAAAAATTGTAGAGCTTCGCACACCGGCGACGCCGGTAGGGGTCGGGGGAGGGAAAGAGAGAGGGGGATGTCATCTGAACTTGCGAACATGACACGCTGAGGGTCGGCGGCCTATCTTGGGGCTATGTTGGCCCATCTTGGGGCTATGTTGGCCCATCTTGAGGCTATGTTGGCCTATGCCTAGTGTTGTAATTTACAGCATTTTGTGCTGTGAGATGGTAAGAACCCGTGTAAATACCACAGTTTTAGTCCCCGAAAGTGGCTAAAACACTCTTATTTACAGAGTTTCGTTCACATCACGATCTTCGATTTTTTGAAAAACGTGTAAATACCAGCGTTTTTTGCATTCATCAAGACAAAAAATCGGTTCAAAAAGTGCAAAAAATGCTGTAATTTACAGGGGAGTGGCCCCGTCACAAGCAAAAAACTGCGTAAATACAAGCGTTTCGGCGTCCAAAAGTTGCCAAAACACCGCTATTTACAGTGTTTCGTGCCTTCCACGTTTGCTTGAAATTGCAGAAACATTGTAAATACCAGCTTTTTTGCGATCAACCCGCCAAAAATGCTGTAATTTACAATGTTTTTTTGCTTGGCTTTCAAAAACACTGGTATTTGCAGTGTTTTGTGCATCTCGGGTCCAAAAAGTATTGGTATTTACAGCATTTTCTGCGTTTTTGCATGGCTCCCGCCAACGACGTTAAAACGCAAAAATGTTGTAATTTACAGCATTTTGTGACTTCCGAAAAGCGAAAAATCGTCCGAAAAATGTGTCAAAACGGTACTTTTTTCCGATTTTTGGGACCTCCAAAACGCATCTTCAAATTTTACCCTCTTTTTGTCCACCCCAGACCCCGAAAAACGTGAAAACCCCACCAGGCTAAAGGATTTTTGGGGAGGGTCGGCGGCAGGGGCGCGCCCCCGGGTAGCTAAAGCTATGCTTAGCTTCCCCACACTACACGGCGAGGCGTCGCCGGATTTTTGGGCTGACGCCCCTCGTCGGCTCCGCCGGACCACTCGGCCCTCCATTTCATCGCAGTGTGGGCGTGAAAGTTACTGAATGAGGACCTGCTTAGAAATATATTCCTTAGGTTTTTTGGAACATATTTGTTGGAATAGACGATTTTTTGGGGAGCAAGTGAGTTCCCGAAAGCTCCTGCGAAGGGTTTTTCCTAAAGAACTGCTGCCGATTTCAACTTGTTACTTCGTGTAAAGGCGCCTCTGTGCAAAGACTTCTCTGTGTAAAAGCTTTTGTGTGTAAAAGTTTCTGTGTGTAAAAACCACTTTGTGTAAAGACTTCTTTGTGTAAAAGCTTCTCTGTGTGAAAGCACGTCTTTGTAAAGATTTCTCTGTGTGTAAAAGCTTCCGTGTATAAAAACTCTCTGTGTAAAGGCTTCTCTGTGTAAAAGTTTCTGTGTGTAAACGCGTCTGTGTGTTAAAGCTCTCTGTGTAAAGACTTCTTTGTGTAACAACTTTTGTGTGTAAAAGCTCCAAGACGTTTGTGTGAAAAAGCTCCTCAGAGGAAAGACTTCTCTGTGTAAAACCTTCTGTGTGTAAAAAGCTACTCTGTGTAAATGTGTAAAAGCCCCTGCGTGTGTAAAAGCTTGCTGTGTGTAAACGCTTTGGTGTGTAAACGCTCCTCTGTGTAAAGGCTTCTCTGTGTAAAAGCTTCTGTGTGCAAACGCGTCTGTGTGTAAAAAGCCCTCTGTGTAAAGACTTCTTCGTGTAAAAACTTCTGTGAGTTAAAGCTCCTAGACGTTTGTCTGCAAAAGCACCTTAGAGTAAAGACTTCTCTGTGTAAAACCTTCTGTATGTAAAAAGCTCCTTTGTGTAAAGACTTCTCTGTGTAAAACCTTCTGTATGTAAAAAGCTCCTTTGTGTAAAGACTTCTCTGTGTAAAAGCCCCTGTGTGTGTGGGTAAAAGCTTCTGTGCGTCTCCTCCCTCCAGCTTTCTTTCGGGTCACGCTGTCGTCCAGTTTCAATCTGCAACGTTGTTTCTTGTGGAAGAGTGCAAAATAATGCAAAGAACATGTGAAAGCATCGCGCGTTTAAAAATTGAACATAAACAGCGCACAAAGTGCTGTAATTTACAGCATATTGCGCTGTCAGCTGGCAAGAACCCGCGTAAATACCACAGTTTTAGTCCCCCAAAGTGGCTAAAACACTGTTATTTACAGGGTTTCGTTCACGTCACGATCTTCGATTTTTTGGGAAACGCGTAAATACCAGCGTTTTTTGCGTTCATCAAGGCAAAACATCGGTTCAAAAAGTGCAAAAAATGCTGTAATTTACAGGGGTTTGGCGCCGTCACGGGCAAAAAACTGTGTAAATACCAGCGTTTCAGCGCCCAAAAGTGGCCAAAACACCGCTATTTACAGTGTTTCGTGCCTTCCACGTTTTCTTGAAATTGCAAAAACAGTGTAAATACCAGCATTTTTTGCGATCAACTTGCCAAAAATGCTGTAATTTACAGTGTTTTTTTGCTTTGCTTGCAAAAACACTGGTATTTGCAGTGTTTTATGCATCTCGAGTCCAAAAAGTATTGGTATTTACAGCATTTTCTGCGTTTTTGCATGGCTCCCGCAACAGAGGTTAAAACGCAAAAATGCTGTAATTTACAGCATTTTGTGATTTTCGAAAAGTTGAAAATCGTCTGAAAAATGTCTCAAAACGGCGCTTTTTTCCGATTTTAGGTACCCTCCAAACGGGGGGGCGGGGGAATGCTCTTGAAGACGCTGATGAGCGACCCGGATTCCGGCCAAAAAGCTCTCCCCCACCCTCCTGAAGGATTTTTGGTGTTTTTCGGGGCCCGGCGTCGGAGGGTCGGCGGTTTGGGGCGCGCCTCACCATAGAGCTCTATCGCTCTGGGACGCTCGTGACGCATTTGTCAGCGTACTCGTGGGGAGCCGGCGGAGCCGAATTTAAGGGCTGCCGCCCCTGCCGCCGACCCCGGAAAAAAGAAACCGTTGGATTGCAGCAAAACACCATGCCTCTGAAGGACGGAGAAGCCCCAAAATTGCACCTCGAAAATGCCTAACGTAACTTCTGAAACCCATAGAAAATGATGATCCTTTTTTTCATCTTGCTGCTAACCTTTATGACTTTGGCCACCCTACATCGGTCCCCAAATGGGAACACACCATGCGAAAAAATCACTCCGGCAGCAAAACACCATGCTATGAAGGACGGAGGAAGCCCCAAAAATTTTCCCCACACTACCCGGGCGAGGCGTCGCGGATTTAAGGGCTGCCGCCCCTGCCGCCGACCCCCCCCGGGAAAAAGGAAAAACCGTGGATTTGCAGCAACACACCGCCTCTGAAGGACGGAAGACAGAAGCCCCAAAATTGCACCTCGAAAATGCCTAGGAACTTCTGAAACCGATAGAAAATGATGCTTTTGGCTCCTTTTTCCTCTTGCTGCTGCTATGAATTTTGGCCACCTTTACATCCGGTCCGCAAATGGGAAAACACCATGGAAAAAATCCCCTCCCGGCAGCAAAACACCATGCCCCTGAAGGACGGAGAAGCCCCAAAATTGCACCTCGAAAATGCCTAACGTAACTTCTGAAACCGATAGAAAATGATGCTTTTGGCTCCGTTTTCCTCTTGCTGCTGCTATGACTTTTGGCCACCTTTACATCCGGTCCCGAAATGGGAAAGCACCATGGAAAAAATCACCTCCCGGCAGCAAAACACCATGCCTCTGAAGGACGGAGAAGCCCCAAAATTGCACCTCGAAAATGCCTAACGTAACTTCTGAAACCGATAGAAAATGATGCTTTTGGCTCCTTTTTCCTCTTGCTGCTGCTATGAATTTTGGCCACCTTTACATCCGGTCCCCAAATGGGAAAACACCATGGAAAAAATCACCTCCCGGCAGCAAAACACCATGCCTCTGAAGGACGGAGAAGCCCCAAAATTGCACCTCGAAAATGCCTAACGTAACTTCTGAAACCGATAGAAAATGATGCTTTTGGCTCCTTTTTCCTCTTGCTGCTGCTATGACTTTTGGCCACCTTTACATCCGGTCCCCAAATGGGAAAACACCATGGAAAAAATCACCTCCCGGCAGCAAAACACCATGCCTCTGAAGGACGGAGAAGCCCCAAAATTGCACCTCGAAAATGCCTAACGTAACTTCTGAAACCGATAGAAAATGATGCTTTTGGTTCCTTTTTCCTCTTGCTGCTGCTATGACTTTTGGCCACCTTTACATCCGGCCCCCAAATGGGAAAACACAATGGAAAAAATCACCTCCCGGCAGCAAAACACCATGCCTCTGAAGGACGGAGAAGCCCCAAAATTGCACCTCGAAAATGCCTAACGTAACTTCTGAAACCGATAGAAAATGATGCTTTTTGCTCCTTTTTCCTCTTGCTGCTGCTATGACTTTTGGCCACCTTTACATCCGGTCCCCAAATGGGAAAACACCATGGAAAAAATCACCTCCCGGCAGCAAAACACCATGCCTCTGAAGGACGGAGAAGCTCCAAAATTGCACCTCGAAAATGCCTAACGTAACTCCTGAAACCCATAGAAAATGATGATGAATTGATGCTTTTGGCTGCTTTTTTTCCCTCTTGCTGCTGCTATGAATTCTGGCTACCTTTTCCGCCTGCTGCTGCAGAGGCTTTTGCTGCTGCTGCTGCTGCTGCTGGTCCTCGGATGGCAACACACCATGGAAAAAATCACCTCCCGGCAGCAAAACACCATGCCTCTGAAGGACGGAGAAGCCCCAAAATTGCACCTCGAAAATGCCTAACGTAACTTCTGAAACCGATAGAAAATGATGTTTTTGGCTCCTTTTTCGTCTTGCTGCTGCTATGACTTTTGGCCACCTTTGACCCGGTCCCCAAACGGGAAAACACCATGGAAAAAATCACCTCCCGGCAGCAAAACACCATGCCTCTGAAGGACGGAGAAGCCCCGAAATTGCACCAAGAAAATGCCTAACGTAACTTCTGAAACCGATAGAAAATG